ACTGGTGAAACTATGACACTACGAAACAAGTATTGCTGAGATAAAACTTGGCGAAACTTTTGACTGAACCATGACAAAGGGTGACTATTTCTCTCTCCTTCTACGAAACTCACTCAGAGAGGCGTGTGTTGACTCAGGTAAGAGCAGGTGTAATCATACTCCGGCACTCTACTCTTGTAAAAAGTTTATGATTACCTGAATATTTGCCCCTGGTTAAGTTCACTAGAAGATTGAAACTAACCTACCCTAACTTAACCTAACTTAACTTAACCTAACCTAACTTAACCAAACCTAGTTAATTTCACCGGATGATTGAACATTCTTATGCTAACCTAACCTGACTTAGCCTAATCTAACCTAACTTAACCTATCACTAATCTAAACTAATTTAACTTAACCTAATACTAACCTAACCTAACCTAAGCCTAACACTAATACTAATACTAACCTAACCTAACCCAAACTCAACGCTAACACTAACCTAACCTAACCTTCCCCTAGATGGCGTTAAGGTGTTTAATCATCAGATAAGATAAACTGGATTAAACTAATCTTCAGGTGATCCATAACAGATTAATTGAGATGAATTGTAGTTTAATCTTTGCTGAATTAAGACACGCTGCCACACCATCGATCATAATGTATTTTGTGTGAGGAAAAAACTTAAGGTGGATAACTCTGATTTTTCCTCGGATGATTGAGTGAACTGTCTCTCTCTCTCTCTCTCTCTCTCTCTCTCTCTCTCTCTCTCTCTCTCTCTCTCTCTCTCTCTCTCAATCTGTCTTTCTTTAGTTCATTCTCTGTCTGTCTGGCTGTTTGTCTGTCTTTCTTTTTTAAACTCATGTCTGTTTATTTCATTATGTCTGTCTGTGTGTTTGTATCTCTCTTTTACTCCCTGTCTGTCTGTCTGTGTGTGTCTGTATCTGTCTTTTACTCCGTCTTTATTTATTTCACTCTCTCTCTCTCTCTCTCTCTCTCTTTTACTCCCTGTCTTTATTTGCGTCACTGTCTGTCTGTCTGTCTCTCTCTCTCTCTTTTACTCCATTTGTGTTACTGTCAGTCTGTCAGTCTGTCTGTCTGTCCCCCCCTCTCCCTGTCCACCATTTCCTTGTTAGACCGCCGGAAAAAACTCAGCAAGGGATCCCGAGTATGAAGGTGAGGGTGAGGGTGAAGTGTGAGGGTGAAGTGTGAGGGTGAAGGTGAAGTGTGAGGGTGAAGTGAAAAAGTGAGGGTAAGTGTTAGGGGTGAAGGTGAAGTGAGGTGAAGGTGAAGTGTGTGAGGGTGGGGGCGGAGGAGTGTTTGGGTGAAGTGTGAGGGTGAGGTGAAGTGTTAGGGTGAGGGTGGTGAGGGTGAAGTGTGGAGGGTGAGGGGAAGGGAAGTGGAGGGTGAAGGTGAGGGGTGAGGGGGTGAAGTGTTAGGGTGAGGGTGAAGTGTTAGTGAGGGTGAAGGTGGGAGGGTGAGGTGAAGGGGAAGGTGAGGGTGAAGTGAGGGGTGAGGGGTATGTTAGGGTGAAGGGTGAGGGGATGCAGAGGGTGAAGTGTGAGGGGTGAGGGTGAAGTGTTAGGGTGAAGGGTGAGGGTGAAGTGTGAGGGTGAGGGTGAAGTCTGAAGGTGAGGATAAAGAATGAGGGCGAACTACAAGGGTGAAGTGTGAGGGGGTAGTGTGAGGATGAAGGCTGCGTGAGAAAGTTATCGTATTAGCTGTGGAGACTTAGCACCAGTGGTCGCGTGGTCACAGCAAATCATTATCAAGATGGCGTCGAGAAAACTTGAAGGGAGTGGGAGGAATACGACCTTCAGTAGTGTGTTAAGTGTGACCACCAGGGAGCCAGGAACACAAGATACTTAGCTGGTGTTTACATGTTGCAGCCTCGTGACACCAGGGAGCCAGGAACACAAGATACTTAGCTGGTGTTTACATGTTGCAGCCTCGTGACACCAGGGAGCCAGGAACACAAGATACTTAGCTGGTGTTTACATGTTGCAGCCTCGTGACACCAGGGGGCCAGGAACACACGATACTTAGCTGGTGTTTACATGTTGCAGCCTCGTGAAACCAGGGGAGCCAGGAACACAAGATACTTAGCTGGTGTTTACATGTTGCAGCCTCGTGACACCAGGGAGCCAGGAACACAAGATACTTAGCTGGTGTTTACATGTTGCAGCCTCGTGACACCAGGGGGCCAGGAACACACGATACAAGGGGTTATCACAGAGTTCATAACACAATACACATCTCACGCTGAGGGTTACTGTGATGTTATTCTACTCTCGTGTTTTCTCTGAGTCTTTGTGTTGAATCGAGCGATGTTCCCTCTTGTCTTTTGTCTGGGTGGTACACAGACTTGCCTCCCCTCCCCTCCCCTACAGCGACGGAGTTTTATTTTGTATCTTCACGTCTCTTTTCATCCCGCTCGGCTCTTAGCTAAAAGGGGTCAGGAGAAAAGTTAAGAGTGATGATATCGGGTAGCAGCGGGTTTGTGGGAAGCGGCAAACACCAACACTCTTTGTCTTCCCAGCTGGTGTGTGTGTGTGTGTTTGTTTGCTATGGAAGAAGACACGACTTGGAGTAACACTATACAGTATATAACTTGTGGAAACATTTTATCACTGTCTTGTGTTGTGGAGTTGGAGGTGATGAGTGACCTTCCATATCCTCACGTCCGCACTTGGTTCACCCGTCTGTTGGACCCTGTGTGAGGCGCGGAGAGACGGGGGCCGCTTCTACCGCTTCCAATATTTGTTTTGTTCTGTTGACTCGGGAAATAACCAGTTACCCCTAAGTTTCACCCTCACTAGTAACGTGCCAAAGAAAGTTTATTGACTTTTGTTGAAGATGACTAATGAAATCCTCGTGGGTCGTCTCAGGAGCCATTTAGCGTGAATAATCTTCTTCATTGACTTAACGCTGATCTAACTAACCCAGCACTAACTACCACTGTGATGGAGTAGCTAGAGTCGACCTGTCATCAGTGGTGAGTGTGATGTATACCTGCCTCCAGTAACTTGACCTTGGATGACCTTCAGTAACCGGTTAAACACGGGAGTTATCACACTTAATCAGTCTTTATACCCAAGCCGTGTGGAGGAGGTGCATTACTGTTTATTATACAAAACACGTATCCAGCATCCACTCCATCACCTCCTCTGGGAAATACCAAGAAATTTTTTTTAACTTTCGTGGTAACTCTTCTTTCTATAACCTTCTTCCCGCTGGACTTAAAATTTAACATCTGAGACAGTGTAAAAATGATTAATGAAGAAAATGAAGGATAAGTTTTGTTTGTTGCTCCGGGATGAATGTAGCTTAAAAAGAGAGAGAGAGAGAGAGAGAGAGAGAGAGAGAGAGAGAGAGAGAGACCATCATGTTTACATAGACCTTCAACGTTGACCCAAACTCACAACACAATTCATTTATTATTTTTTTTTTGCTACGAAAGAAAAAAAATAGAGTTAGAGGCTTCAATTTAAAAGACTTTGAGTGAACTGACTAATCAACACACCTGGATGGTATATACAGTAGTTAGGCCAGGTAATGTTGACCATGTGAGTATTATTTGTGTTGTGGATTGTTTGGTACAGTTGTTTCTGGTGTGATGTTGTGAGTTGTAGTGAGTTTGTTATTAATAGGAGTGATGTTGTGAGTTGTAGTGAGTTTGTTATTAATAGGAGTGATGTTGTGAGTTGTAGTGAGTTTGTTATTAATAGGAGTGATGTTGTGAGTTGTAGTGAGTTTGTTATTAATAGGAGTGATGTTGTGAGTTGTAGTGAGTTTGTTATTAATAGGAGTGTTGTTGTGAGTTGTAGTGAGTTTGTTATTAACTTCAGTAAAAAAAAATGTCTTTGTATTTATGTTTTCGTTGTTAATTAAGAGGTGGATTTTGAGCCTTCATCGTTAGTGGATATTTTAATCTTGTTTTTGTTCTCCAGTCTTGTCAGCTCTCTATACTGATGCCTTCCACCACTGTTGTCAGCTCTCTATACTGACACCTTCCACCACTGTTGTCAGCTCTGTCTACTACTGACACCCTCCACCAGTGCTGTCAGCCCTGCCCTATACTGACACCTTCCACCACTGTTGTCAGCCAGACCCTATACTGATGCCTTCCACCACTGTTGTCAGCTCTCTATACTGACACCTTCCACCACTGTTGTCAGCTTTGTCTACTACTGACACCCTCCACCAGTGCTGTCAGCCCTGCCCTATACTGACACCTTCCACCACTGTTGTCAGGACTAGTGGTACTCCTCATGTCACAAACTATAGTCATGTCAATAAACTGATGACATAAAACTCTTTCATGTCAGTTGTCAGGAGTTAAAAGCTGACAACAGAGCCGCTCACAACTAAGCCTTTAAAACACGTGTCGGATTTATCAGCTGACAAACAAATTTACTGCCAACTAAGCTTCATCGTGTGTTGGAATTAACAGCTGACAACAGAGCCGCTGACAAGTAAGCTTCATCGTGTCCCCGTCAGAAATTGGAGCATGACAGCTTATATTTTTCTTTATATCGACGCTCTCTGAATTGCCCGGATATTTGATCTCACGAAGCAATCATGACTTGAGCTGACACTTTCTTCCTGACGAAGCTGGCGTGATAAGACTAAGAGCAATTTGAAGTGTGTAAAGAATTGTTGTGTTAAAAATGTCTTAAGGATATTAAATGACTTTTGAATATTATTGAGGACGAAAGGATTAAATTATTGTTTGTTTGTTGATTATTGTCCTCAGTGGGTTAAGCCATCGTCCTGAAGGGTTTAAACCAACCTCCTAAAGGGGTTAAAACCATCGTCCTATAAACCATCATTTTCAAAGAGATAGGGTATCACAAATTAAACCATGATTAATAAAAAAATTCGAAGTATCCACAACAATAATAATAATAATAATAATAATAATAATAATAATAATAATAATAATAATAATAATAATAATAATAATAATACAACTACTATTACTACTACTAACAACAACAACAACAACAATATCAAATTACCTTTTCATTCGCCCAGTTCCCTCGTCAAACATCATCAGGTGACCCGGTGTGGCCTGGGAAGTAATGAAGACCTCAGACCTTCACCTAGGAACGAGAGAGACACAAAGGGAGAGAGACTTAGACACGCAGGCAGCTCACGTTATGGTTTTTATAATATACAACAACAATATGCAACGTGTCATTATGCGGTGGTGCCTGTGATGAACAACTCTTGATATTTATATAGAGTTTGAGAGTGTGTGTGTGTGTGTGTGTGTGTGTGTGTGTGTGTGTGTGTGTGTGTGTGTGTGTGTGTGTGTGTGTGTGTGTGTGTGTGTGTGTGTGTCAGTGTGTGTGTGTGTGTGTGTGTCAGTGTGTGTGTGTGTGTGTGTGTGTGTATGTGTGTGTGTGTGTGTCAGTGTGTGTGTCCGGTGTGTGTGTGTGTGTGTGTGTGTGTGTGTGTGTGTGTGTGTGTGTGTGTCAGTGTGTGTGTGTGTGTGTGTGTGTGTAGGTGTAGGTTAGCGTGTGTAAAGATCAGCTAATATCCTACAAGATCTTTTATGATACACGCTCTCTCTCTGTCTCCTTACACACACACACACACACAAGATTCGTGCCCTGAAGACGTTAAGACGAATGCTATTAATTACAATCTTGTATGTTTACTTTTGTCCACTTCCTGCTGATGATGGTGGTAATACTGTGGTGGTGGTAGGTAGGTGTGGTGGTTGTGGTGGTTGTGGTTGTGGTTGTGTCCGGTAGTAGTGTGGTGGTGGTTGTGGTGTGTCTAGTAGTAGTGGTAGTGGTAGAAATATTGATATCACACACACACACACACACCCACACACACACACACACATTTCGATCATTAGTGATTTCATTTGTTTTGTGACGTGAAATACTGGTTTGTTACTTATTTGCCTTAATTAATTCTTCAGTTTATTTATCTTAGTGGGAGATAATACGTGTGTCTCTCTGTTAGTGGGAGATAATACGTGTCTCTCTGTTAGTGGGAGATAATACGTGTCTCTCTGTTAGTGGGGAGATAATACGTGTCTCTGTTGAGTGGGAGATACGTGTCTCTCTGTTAGTGGGAGAATAATACGTGTCTCTCTGTTGAGTAGGAGATGTCTGTCTCTCTGTTGAGTGGGGAGATAATACGTGTCTCTCTCCTGTTAGTGGGAGATAATACGTGTCTATCTGTTGAGTGGGAGAATAATACGTGTCTCTCTGTTGATGGGAGATAATACGTGTCTCTCTGTTAGTGGGAGATAATACGTGTCTCTCTGTTGGTGGGAGATAATACGTGTCTCTCTGTTGGTGGGAGATAATACGTGTCTCTCTGTTGGTGGGAGATAATACGTGTCTCTCTGTTGGTGGGAGATAATACGTGTCTCTCTGTTAGTGGGAGATAATACGTGTCTCTCTGTTACTGGGAGATAATACGTGTCTCTCTGTTAGTGGGAGATAATACGTGTCTCTCTGTTAGTGGGAGATAATACGTGTCTCTCTGTTGATGGGAGATAATACGTGTCTCTCTGTTAGTGGGAGATAATACGTGTCTCTCTGTTAGTGGGAGATAATACGTGTCTCTCTGTTAGTGGGAGATATACATGTCTCTCTGTTAGTGGGAGATAATACGTGTCTCTCTGTTGTGGTGGGAGATACAGTCTCTTTCCTCTGTATAAGCCTCCCCTTAAAAGAAAGTTATCCTCTAACTCTATAACTTTCTCTGCTCCGTAAACTCACCTAACTTACTGACTTTACTTTTTCACCCAATATAAAAATTCCCAGAAAGTTATAAAATATATATATATATGACGTTTCATCTTTGATATTATAGTTACTTATATCTTAAATATATTTGTCTTTTCTTAATATTGTTGTATAATCTTTATATCATTATTTTTTATTTATTCATGTATAATAAGTGTATGGGGATTATTGAAAAGAAAAAACGTAAATTATATTAGATTAGTTGTCTAAATATCAACCGGAAATGATTGGCATTTCGGACGATTTTCTTTGTTTTCTTGTTAATAAGGAATCAAATATCTCCCATTTAAGTGTTTATATTACCTGAGTATCGAAAAAAAGGACTGATTTATACCTCAAAGTATTCCTCTTAATCTTAACTTCACACATAACATAATATACCATTTTATTCTAATCCTTGATCTAGATATTAATTTTTATATTATTTTATTTGCCAGGGTTTAACAGATATGTATAGCCAAGTTAAGTATTTATCAACAAACTAACGCAATAAGTTCTGGGGGGGTGGTGGGGGTGTGGTGGGGTGGTGGGGGGTGGTGGGGGGTGGTGGGGGGGTGGGTGGTGGGGGTGGGTGGGTGGGGAGTTTAAACACCATTTCCTCTCATTATACACCGACTGATGTGTTTGTGTCAGGAGGGGATTATAAATGATAGTGAGCCAGTATTAATTATTATAAATTACTGTTAAAATTTTGTTGAATTATTTATATGTTAATTTTACTGTTAAAGATTATATATTCATTTCCAGGTGAGCTAGACTATAGGGTGCCGGGGTGAGGTGTAAGGGGTGAGGTGTAAGGGTGAGGTGTAAGGGGTGAGGTGTAAGGGTGAGGTGTAGGGTGAGGTGTAAGGGTGAGGTGCTAGGCTGAGGTGCTAGGGTGAGGTGCCAGGGAGGGTGCAGTGACAGTTCTTTCCTACTGTGTAAATTAAAAATAAATCTGAAGGGTTTACAGACTCTCACCCTCCCAGTCACATAACACTGCCGGACAAATAACCTAGCCTAACTTAACCTAACCTAACCTAACCAAACCTAACCTAACCTAACCTCACTTAACCTAAACTTACTTTTAATCGCAGTTAGGTGAGGCAATGAGAGCTTAATTTAACCTGAATAAATTAATTACGGTATATTACCTAATAATGGCCCACCTGTCCTGTAATAAAGCTACACCTGGAATAATATATTACATTACTGTTTACTCACACACACACACACCTTACACACTTACACACACACACACACACACACTTACACACAGATGCTAAAGACAAAAGACATCTAAACGTCGTGAAATAAAGAGTAGATGTAAAATATGTGGAGGATGGTGGCAGTATGTGGAGGATGGTGGCGGTATGTGGAGGATGGTGGCGGTATGTGGAGGATGGTGACAGTATGTGGAGGATGGTGACAGTATGTGGAGGATGGTGACAGTATGTGGAGGATGGTGGCGGTATGTGGAGGATGGTGGCGGTATGTGGAGGATGGTGACAGTATGTGGAGGATGGTGGCAGTATGTGGAGGATGGTGGCAGTATGTGGAGGATGGTGACAGTATGTGGAGGATGGTGACAGTATGTGGAGGATGGTGACAGTATGTGGAGGATGGTGGCAGTATGTGGAGGATGGTGACAGTATGTGGAGGATGGTGACAGTATGTGGAGGATGGTGACAGTGTGGAGGATGGCGGTATGTGGATGGGGTATGTGGAGGATGGTGACAGTATGTGGAGGATGGTGACAGTATGTGGAGGATGGTGGCGGTATGTGGAGGATGGTGGCGTATGTGGAGGATGGTGACAGTATGTGAGGATGGTATGTGGAGGATGGTGACGGTGTGGAATGGTGGCTGTATGTGGGGATGGTGACAGTATGTGGAGGATGGTGACAGTATGTGGAGGATGGTGGTATGTGGGGATGGTGGCGGTATGTGGAGGATGGTGGCAGTATGTGGAGGATGGTGGCAGTATGTGGAGGATGGTGGCGGTATGCGGAGGATGGTGGCGGTATGTGGAGGATGGTGGCGGTATGTGGAGGATGGTGACAGTATGTGGAGGATGGTGACGGTATGTGGAGGATGGTGGCGGTATGTGGAGGATGGTGACGGTATGTGGAGGATGGTGGCAGTATGTGGAGGATGGTGACGGTATGTGGAGGATGGTGACAGTATGTGGAGGATGGTGACGGTATGTGGAATGGTGGCGGTATGTGGAGGATGGTGGCAGTATGTGGAGGATATGGGTTGTGGGGATGGTGGGTATGCGGAGGATGGTGGCGGTATGTGGAGGATGGTGGCAGTATGTGGAGGATGGTGACAGTATGTGGAGGATGGTGACAGTATGTGGAGGATGGTGGCTGGTATGTGGAGGATGGTGACAGTATGTGGAGGATGGTGGCAGTATGTGGAGGATGGTGGCGGTATGTGGAGGATGGTGGCAGTATGTGGAGGATGGTGGCGGTATGTGGAGGATGGTGGCAGTATGTGGAGGATGGTGGCGGTATGTGGAGGATGGTGGCGGTATGTGGAGGATGGTGGCAGTATGTGGGTATGGTGGCGGTATGTGGAGGATGGTGGCAGTATGTGGAGTATGTTGGCAGTGTGTGGAGTATGTTGACGTGTGTGGAGGATGTTGGCAGTATGTGGGCATGTAGCCAAATCGTACCTGTTTGTACAGTCAAAAATCACAAGAATTCTCAGTAACTGAGAACACATTTAGTGCAACAAGCAAAACTTTCTGTGTATGAAGTGAGCGGAAATTGATGTTCCCTAACGGAGGAGGGAGGAGGAGGAGGAGGAGGAGGAGGAAGAGGGAGGAGGAGGAGGAGGAGGAGGAGGAGGAGGAGGAGGAGGAGGAGGAGGAGGAGGAGGAGGAGGGAGGAGGAAGAGGGGAAAGAGTAGGAGGAAGAGGAAGACAATTCTTATTATCATTTTTATTGTCTTTTAGGAATATGTGTGTGTGTGTGTGTGTGTGTGTGTGTGTGTGTGTGTGTGTGTGTGTGTGTGTGTGTGTGTGTGTGTGTGTGTGTGGTTGATACCTAGACTATCACAGGGATTAAGTCGTCGTACTCAATGTATTAAGTCATTGTACTCTCGTGGTTAATTCATTGTACTCAAGGATTAAATTATCGTACTCAAAGGGCTAATATAACATACTAGGAAAACTAATCTTACTCAAGGGGCGAATAATCTTACTCAAGGATGAACTAATCTTACTCAAGGGCGAATAATCTTACTCAGGGGCGAATTCTTATAAGGGATGAACTAATCTTACTCAAGGGGCGAATAATCTTACTCAAGGGGCAAATAATCTTACTCAAGGGATGAACTAATCTT